GGAGTGGCGATGACTTTTGGCAACGATGAACAGCCGGCAAACGTGACTGCTCGACGGGGCGGAATGGCGATGACTTTTGGCAACGATGAGCAGCCGGCAAGCGTGACTGCTCGACGGGGCGGAGTGGCGATGACTTTTGGCAACGATGAGCAGCCGGCAAACGTGACTGCTCGACGGGGCGGAGTGGCGATGTCCTTTGCGAATTGTTCGTTAGGGAACCGAGATGCTGATACAAGAGGAGGGCGCAATGAGTGGGATGAAACGTATGTCGGAAATAAGGGGGTTGAAGGTGTTATCGGTGAAGTGGATTTCCGTCGGTCTGCGTCCTATCGATCTCCACAAGCACAGCGGCCTACTGTTTGTGAACCTCTTGACTTTGTTCCGGGGGAACCAGAACCTGCTGTTGTTAGCGAAAGTGGAGGTCCTTTTTTTATTGGCAGCACTACACGTCCCCAGATGAGGAATATGAGTCCAGGGCCTTTTTGCCGAGGACCAGGCGCTGCACCTCATGAGGATATTAGTGGCGGCACGCCGGCGGGTCGATGGCGTGCGTCGTCCCCAGGGCCCACGTTTGGGGAGAGCGGCGCTGGTCAGGGCGTGAGGAACGGCGGGAATTGGCAGCAGAAAACTCGGAGATTGGGGGTGGCGCGCGAGGACTCTCCAGTGCCTGGTTTCACTGGAGTGCCGCTTTCACGGCCACCAACTGTGTTGGACCCCTTCGTTAGGCTCTCCACTCGCCCCAGCCCTCACTCGGGCGCGGGCACTGAGTTTCAGCGTAAAGTTGGGGAATCACATTTTTACCCGCCTCAGAACGATCGCTGGCAAAGCCATGATGCCGGCAACGATCTTCGCCGCACGGGAATTCCTGAGCGTCGAGGTGAAAGTTTTTGGCGCCCCTCGTCGATTGGTGGTCCGCCGCAGAATGGCACATCCAACTCTCTTGCGTCCCCTGTTTCAAGCATCTCAAACAATGGAAACTTGATGCGCGAGGACGCCAATTCGCGTGCGAGAGGTGGGTTTGGGGGAAATTTTACCCCGGACACTATGCACTGTTTTTCGCGGCGTCAAACCCTTGGTCGCCCAAACGCTGGTATGGGCGGTGCACAGTGCGATGCGACAAGCATCAATCGTCCCTCCAATAACATTGGCGTATTCACGGGCTCTGGAAATCGGATGGGCGCAGCATCCAATCTTTCGTCAAATGGCATATTTACGAGAATGACTACTTTGTACGATGGTGGCACTTCCCGTGTACCTATCATCGATGAATACGACTATCCAAGAAATGGAAGTCGTGTTCGCCCGCGGGGTGTGCAGGCTATGGATCTCTCTTGGTCAGGGAAGTGGGGATCGTCGCGATCGGCATACGGTTGTCCCGGAGGCCGTGGTACGCCCCACCCAGTCTCCTCTCGTGTGGTTTCAAGTGCGATGCCTTGGCGCAAAACAACCACCACACGCACTGGCGCCACGAGACGAGGGCTCCCTGCCACTAAGCCACCATTGGCCCCTAGCAGCCGTGCACCGTTTCGTCCAGGTGCAGCATCTGCAGGGGCACGCACTACTGTGACTCCCTCTGCCGTCCGTGGCCTAACACTGCGAGAACGGGTGCGGTTGAGGCAACAACAACAGCGCCGTGAAGCAAACCTAAAAACATTTCAGAATAACCTGCATGAAAACTACTGTATGGGAAATGATATGAAGCGGTGTCGAAATGAGGTTGCAGGGTCGTTTCATACAAAGTCCGATGCGGAGATAGGGACCACTTTGAAGCTTAATACTGTAACTGAGACGATCAGACATGTGGCGGGTGCCTCTGTCGACACTGCACACAACGTTGGCGCAGCAGGGGCAGAGGCACAAGCTGCTGCAACCCTTGATGCATACGGGGATGAAGTTAAACGCTTGGAGTCTCTTACAAATCCGTTTGTTCAAGCCGATGGTGTGAATGTTGCTTTTTGTCTGCGCGATTTTGTTAACGCGTTTCTCTACTTACCGGGAGAAACACTGAAGGAACAAGATCTCACGAAAGCGGTGTGGTTAGACGATGGCGTCTCGTATTTTATATCCGGTAAACCCACGCGGTTCTGTGGAGGATGGGAAAGCTACCTACAACATCTCAACCTTTACCAGCAGCCCTTCTACCTGAGGGAGAGGGCCTTCATATTTGTATTGCGAGTTCCGTACCAGCCAAACCTTCGCGTTTGCGTTGCGGTGCACAACATGGATGATTTCATTGCGTTGTTGCAACAACAGCCATTGAAGAAAATTTTGTTAACAAAGGAGGAAAAATGGATGCAGGAGCGCCTTTATAAGACAGGGCCTGAAGGGAGAGACATTCAGGCCCAACCAAGACCCAATAAAGTGGGAGGTTTCAAAAGCCTTCTTCGGCGTTTGCATGTCTTTAGAAAAGACAAGCATGCAGGTGAAACTTGTGACGCAGTGCAGCAAGGTGGTTGGGCTCCCATGACGTGGCAGCGACGCTGGGCGCTGTTGTGTCTTCACGTAGAAGCGACACTGCGCGGTTCCGCATGGAAGACGTTTACGACTCCCCTTTTGACTGATCCTGCTTTATTGCGGGCCCGCATGTCTTTTCTCTCGAATCGAACAGCCACGTATGCCGCGTTACGTCATCGACTCAACACCCTACAGGCCCTTGCTTCTAGTCGGGTGAAAAAGCAAGGGGATGGATCTGTCTTGCAGGAGCTGCGCGCAATACAGGAACGGACTCAATCCGCACCTTTGTTGCCGCTAGAATCTAACCGTGTGCTTCCCCATAAGGAGGAAGTACCGCCATCTTTAAGGGAAACACGAACTCCAGCGATGGCAACGACGACGAGGAGGGGTGTAGCAACGAGTGTGACAAGGAAGCGTGAGCCATTTCGAGTGAACCGTGTGGGAGATGGGTCGGCAACTGCGCTGCGTCGACCCCGTCCAGCGCGTCCCCCTATGCAGCCAACAGAGATGGCAACAACCGCTGCGACACGGCGATTTAGTGAGGTACAGCTTGGAGCACAGACGCCGTGCCGAGCGACTTTGGCGCCCTATGCGTCTTCGGTAAGCCTCTCGCGACCGCATTTGCCTTCACCGGCAACCAATTCAGACACAGTGGGGGTGGCAGGGCAATTGTTGATTCGGGAGTCGGAGAAGGACGCGTTAGTGCAGGTTGCTGAAAACGCAGCAGGACGAGCTACTTTTTTCAATGAAGTTTTACCCCCTCCGATGACGACTGTTTTGAAATTTATGTCTTCATGGGATCTGCCGGAGCAACAAAAACATGTCTTTGGTGGGTGTTCAAAGGGCTCGTCACTTGCTTGTATAACGATGCCTAATCCTGTGTTTGCAGGGTTACTTCCAACACCGACGGAAATTCACCGCCAAAGAGAATGCTTCAACATCAGTGTCTCTCAACTGCAGCAACTGCTTCAGTGGCAGTGGGAATACCATCAGAATTGTTACGAAGCATTTCCGCTTCCTGTATTTTCTGGGGCCCTTGTTGCACCCACAGATGCCTATTTTGCTGTCACCAGAGAAGTAAATAAGGGCGTGGATGGAACGGGGGTAAGCCCCTTATCTCGTTCCCTTTTACTTGCCCTTACGAAATGGGGTTGGATGGTTCCCATAAATTACAAAGCCTCAAGAAGTGATGCCCGTCTTCATTTCCTCTCGGTAGATTGGTTGCCTTCTTTTTTTGGACCTCCAGCGTGGACAAGAAGAGGCACATTTTGCTTTTGGCTGTTTGTCATTGGATTGTGGCGAAATCAGGTGCTCTGGATTGCCTCACTTTACATTGTATACGCGTGTTTTCGGGCGGCTATGCGGGGCGTCTTTGGTGGATGCGCTAGACGACCTGCGGCCCTTGACTCTGCCACCTCCATTGTGTACGATCAATCAGAGGCGGCGGTGGAGGCGATGTTGGAGAGACGACAGCTCTTTCGCACACAATCACTTGCCATGCGCATACTACGGATACAAAGTTATGTTCAAAATGTTTTGAGCCGAGCAACGATGCTACTGTGTGGGTATTCACCTTTCCTCTCACTTCTCATTGGCTTGGAGGTGCTCGTGATGTGGCTACTCCTCATCGGCTACAACTACGGTGTTTCTTACTTCCTCGCCACCACTCGTTTTGCATCAGGGGTTATGGTTGGGCATCTCTCGCGGATGTTAGAGTTACTTACCTTTGAGTGGGAGCCTGGCGTTCTGTATTGGTGCGCCTCCCTCGTTCTACCGAGTGGTTGCGATGGAACGGCATTGGGCTTTCTGTTTGTGCTCTATTTCCTTTTCTGCTTGTTGCCGTGGTCGCCACTACGGTGGATGTGTTGGAGAACGTGGGAACTGTTTTTGTACGACGACGCCTTGGTCCGCCGCCCTTTGCTCTCGTTTTGAGAATTTTTTTTTTAATTTGTTTGTTTGGCGCCGTTTTGGTTTTTCTTTGTGGTGGAGTGGCGTGAGGAAGATGGGTTGCGTTTATGCACATTAGATTAGAGAAGACAAGTCACTTTGGAGGGGGTTGCGTTTTTCTTCTCCCTCTCTGATATAAATATATATGGTTGGTTGTGCCTTTTTTGACTATTTTTTTGTTTGGGTTTTGCACGTGCTGCTGCTGTCGTTTCAGTTTGTGAAATGAATTGTTTTTTTCGTCTCTCTCTTTTTCTTATTTCTTGTGTTTTTTTCTTTCTTCTTCGTCTTTGGTTTCGCGCTCTCTTTTTCATACACGCGAGTGCGAGGGGCGGGGCTTGAGTTTTTTTGCAAGGGGCGTGTCTCTCTCGCGTGGCCTACACGTGATGGAACTACCCACGCGCGAAGGTCAACAGGACAACAGTGACCAGAATGAGTCTGGCGTGAACAGTGAGTCCCCCAGTGTCATTGACGACGAGGAGCTCGCTGCGCGTGAAAAAGGTGAGGCGCTTAGGACGCTGCATGACGCTGTTTGGACTGTCAGCTCTGCCAAACACGGCAATGGAGTGATGTATCTGCTGGACAACACCCATAATACTTTTTGGCAATCAGATGGGGTTCTTCCTCACACTGTCTGCGTAGATTACGCGCGGCTGACGCCGGTGATAGCCGTTGCTCTTTACCTTGACTTTCTGCAGGACGAAAGCTACACCCCGCGAAGGATACGTGTGCAGGCAGGCACACACAGCGGTGACATGGCGGATGTTGTCTCTGCCACCGTAGATGATCCGCAGGGCTGGGTTTTTCTGCGAATGAACGTGGAGGACGATATGCCGCCGCCATGGGAGATTGGTATGACGTTTGCTACGGAAGGCGGTGTAGCTGGCATCCACACACTTGGTGTGGATGAAGTGGGAGAGGCAACGGACGGACCAACGTCACCAGCACCACTCGCTCCTCAAACAACTTTTGTAGAGAATGATGATTACGCCGAGTTTATGGGAGATGGTGTGTGGTGCACACACCTTCGTATCATCCTCGAGGAAAACCGTCAGAACGGTCGTGATTGCCACGTACGTGGCGTGCGAGTGCTAGGCCCCGTGCGACAAAGTGCGTTCACCACAGCATCCTTCTCGCAGCACCTGCTGCTGCGCTGACACGGGTTTGTGTGCACATAGACACACAGCAATACATCCTATCTTTTCGATCACAAAAAAGAAAGGAAGAAGGAGAAGAGATGGAATTGCAAATGCTGCGCGACTGTGGGTAAGAGAGTGTAGTGGCTGCTGCACCCTCAAGAGTTAGCTGTGGAAGCGAGGAGTGATGTTTTATTTATTTATTTTTTCTTCCTCGTTGCTTTCCTTTTCCTTTTCGTTTTTTTTTTAGTTGTGTGCATTGCGCTCGACAGGAGGCCCTTAATAACAGAATCAGTAGAAAGATCAAAGTGCGGGCGACGAAATTTGCCTCCCACTTCTCTGTGTGTTTGTGTGCTGCTTTACGATTTTGCTCCCCGCTGCTCGCACTACGACGGTTGCCATGTTGGCGCGTGAGGAATACGAGGACGACTTTGAGTTGAGTACGGATGACAGTCCTGCTTACCCCAAACGAAACTTGACGCCGTCACCCGGGTCGTTGACTGTATCTCAGGCTTCTTCGGGGGGAAGAGCGGCGGCGCGTCAGCAGAAGTCTTTGACGCAGGCCTCCTTTGGACAGGGGCAGTGAGAGCCCCGTCTCTTGCTCGGCGGCCTCCGGGGGTGGCCGCCCGCCACAGTTGATTCGCCCACCCGAGGTGCGATCGTTGCCAGCAGCATCCCCGGCGTCTGCCGAGGGCTCCCACTTTTTACATGTATCAAAGCTCACCTCGGTGATGCAACTGGAGCCGGAAGGGGGCAACACGCAAGACTGTGTCGATAGGTCCGTGGACGACATGGATGTAACAAAAGAAATGTCCTCCGCCACCCTTCACGACCCGCACAGTGAAACTGCCCCTCCAGCGGGGGTGCAACACTACTTGACGAACTCCGATTCGTCGCTGACAAAATATACATCGTCGTCGTCGTTGTCCAGTTCCTCCTCGAAACAACATGCGTCGCACCCCTCAGTTGCAGCAACACCACTAGCAGAATCAACAATGTCGTCATCTGACGCGAAGAGGCGCATAAGGGACAACGAAGAAACTAATGCGCGGGCTCCACACGGCAGGAATGCATGGTTCGCTTTCAGCAACGGTGGGGAAATATTATCTGACACAGTTGATCTCTGGAAAATTCACGAAGTCACTCCTTCTGCAAAAAAATCAAAGGCGGGTAATGTCGATAGTTCCACGCCATCAAAGTGGAGACTGTCACAGTCCCCCTCTGCACAGAGCTCTACTCAGGGCTTACAACAGCTAATGATAAGGCGTGATTCGAAGGGAGTATTGTGGCACCGTCCATCACAGGAAAATTACAAAAACATGGACCACGGTGTAAAGAAGAGCGGTTTATTATCCTCGGAGGAGCAAATTTCCGGAACCGAAGCCGTCTCCCCCTTTTTAACTCGTGGACAGCTACTGAAAAAGATCGCGGAAATCAAAGATGAACTTTCCAGTGTACGTCGCGCCAAACGGGTATTGGAAGCTTCATCACGAGCCTCCCAGCGTAGCAGCCAAAAAGGGAAATCTCGACGGATTTACATGGATTTGTATAGACTCGAGCGGGAAAATGAACATCTTCAGTATCTTTTAGATCTTGGAGTGATATGGGCTGGATGTACTGATTTACCGCTGCGAATTGCTGAAGAGGAGCTGAGGTATGCGCTTGATGAGCTTAATCGAGAAAAACGACGTCGACGCGAACTTTGGACGGATAACCGACGAAATTCTATTTTATTTACGGAAATGATGAAGCATCAACAGCCCACCCGAGAGAAGATTGCCCGTCAGTACCGGGAGGGAAGGTATGATCGTCTTAATCTTCAGACGAAGGTGGCGAGTCTGCAGGAGAAGATATCAGCAACGCGCGAAACTTCAAATCACCTTTCCAAGCAAATTCGACAGTTGGAGGAAAGCATACAAGGGGCGGGATTAACACATATGAAACCAGAAGAGTACACTACAATGCAGTATGAGGTGAAAAAGAATGCTAAGCAAATAGAGAGACTTACCGATTCCGTTGCAGGGTTGTTGGCTAAGGTGGAATGTCACCCTACTCCATGCACGCACTTGTCGAACGAGGTCACGCCCAATGTGTACTTCCCCGGGCGGGACCAAATGGAAGCAATGATTCTGAAGCTCATTAGGCAGGTTGAACAGAAGGAATCACAAATAAATTCGTTGCGTCAGAGTTTTGTTCTAACAGGGTCTACTGTGCCAAAAAGCAAGGGAAGCTTGGCCAGGTTTGCATCACGAAAGCAGCTTCTCTCAGAAAACAGGAGGATGTCTTCAATGCGAAGGTTGTCTTCGAGCAAAAAAGTGAACAATGCTGGTCCTCCCTCCTCACGCCAAACAAATACTAAAGACGCTGCCTACAATGCGCCCCTCTCAAAGGTGGAAATCACACTTGGGCAGCAGCAATGTCCAAAGGGAGAAGGCAAAGGGGTGAATGGAGGAATAAAATCGTTAGGCGCTGAAACAAAGCGCGTCGTAGCGAAGAAACTGCCTGCGTCGTCTCTTTTGAAGCTGGATCAATTACTGCCAGAGGTTTCAGAACCGCATAAAAGCGGTTCTGCACTTTTTTCTGTATGCGTGTCCTCTTCCAATAGCGGTCAAAGGTTGGGATCCTTCTGCAGAACGGATAACAATAATGTTAAGAAGCATTCTACCTTGAATGATGGGATGAAAGAAAAGGTGAATGGTTTATCAAATCACGGCAGTGGACTAGACAGCTTACCTTACACGATCCAGAACTCTCAGTCCAGTATATCCCCAAAATCATTTGGTAAGTCGGACTCGTCCAGAGTCGTTTTCAGTAATGAGTGTTTCCAAGCGAACATGAATGGCAAGGAGGAGGAGGCGGATGTGGTGCAGGATGTAAAGGAAAGTGGTACTGAAGCACCCGTTTGGTTAGGGGGATATTAAATATGGGAAGGGAACAAGATTTTTTTCTGTATATTTGCGAAAACATGCTATGATTGGTGGGCCTGAGCCTGTGCGTATCTGCGTGGATGTGCATTAGAAAAAATATATGTAGCTATATGTACTTGGATACAGCTGGTTGAGGCCGGAAAATGAAAAAAAAAACACACATCACAATGCTTATACTAGCGGCTTGTCTTCAAAGAGTAGCCCGGACATTTGCGTTTTATTACATATTTGGACTTCAATGATGTGTCTGGTTGACGCTTGCTTTTTTTAAAATGTTTGTTGTTGCTCTTTTCGTTTCAAACGCTCGACGAGGGTTTGTTGTATTTTCTTTTCTGAGTAGAAGTAGGGGTGAAATGTTGGGTGGATCCTGTGCAGCGACTGATCATCGAGCGCTAGTGATGATCCTTTATTTTTTAAAAGACGCCAATTGATTGCTTTTTGCGGTCAGTAGAAGTCAATGACACGTCTAGACCCCGAATTTTTGGCGAAGTGAACGCCAATATTTGTTGAAATGCATTTAGAGGACGAATACGAGTGAAAGAAAACACCGTTTTTTTTTTTCTCACGTTTCCGTGGTAAATTGCATGGGCGTTTTTATTCAGTGAAACGTGGAGTCTTTGTAGGAAAGCTTAGAATTTGACGAGACTGGACGGTTTTACATGATGGGAATATGAAACGCGCACACACACATGCTGACATTTTTTATTTTTTATTATGTGGCCCTTTGCTCGCTGTTTGGCAAGCCCTTTCCCTTCCGCTCACTCACTCACTCATGCATCTTTACCTGTTATCTTTGCGCAATTGGTACTCTCTCGAGTCTATTGTTTACTGAAGGTAAAGATTGAAGGGTGGTGGCTACCATATCAGAAGGCGGGCTGCAGGGAACGTGTAACGCGCTAGCGAGGAAGAGAGAAGTGCCGGTGACTGAGTGTGTTTGTGTTTTGTTTCCTCTTGATGTCCTCATCCAATGAAAAGAAACATGCGCCATGGGTAAATGCCGTTGCCGGTGGTCTTGGTGGCGCTGCCGCCAAGTCTTTGCTGTCCCCCTTTCAGCGTGTGGTTGTAATGCAGCAGCTGGGAGAGCACAAGGAGTTCAGCACCTGGCAGTTAGTCCGACACATTAAGGAGCAGGACGGCTGGAAGGGTTTCTGGAAAGGGAACCTCACTTCTATGATCCTCCGCGTGCCGTACTCCGGCATCCAATTCGTGTTTTATAGTCAACTGAAGTTTTTCTTCCAAGACGTCTGTGAACGGTACGTGCGACAACGTCAGGCCCCTGCCGCCGGTGCCCATCGCCGCAGTGAGACCCTCGAATTGTTTTTAATGAAATGCGGCGCCGGCGGCATCTCTGCCACCATTTCAGGGGTTGCGGTGTACCCCGGCGAGGTGGTCCGACTCCGTCTCATGTCCGGTGAACGGAGATTTAACGGCATTTTTAGCACTATACGGTGCATCTACAGCGAGACTAACTCGTTGCGTAATTTTTATCGTGGACTGGGTGCATCCCTCATTCAGCGGGTTCCCGATCTCTTAGTAAGCTTCGCAACGTACGAAACGATTAAGTATCGCTTGATTGAGAAGGAATTTCTCAGCTCACACCCCTCGTCTAAAAACATAGTTGCCACTGTTGTTGGCGGTGGGGCAGCGGCCCTGGCGTCCATTCTTGTCGCTTTTCCATTTGATGTGGCCAAGCGACGCATCGGCATGTCAGGACAGGGAAAGAGTAGGGTGGTGTACACGGGGGTGCGGGACTGTCTGCGTCATGTGTACTCGCAGGAAGGCATCCGTGGCTGGTACGCAGGGGCGCGTGTTGAGGCGATACGTTGCGTGCCACAAGTAGTGCTAATGTGGTTTTTCATAGAGGGTTGCCAACAGTTTCTAACAGAACATTGTGCACAGTAGCTGCATCCTTTACGGAGCTTGCTGTTTTTGGCTGTCCTTTATTTTGGATTTTGGTTTTATTTATTATTATTAATATTTAATACAAGAACCGGTTATGTGTGGCGAGGGGAGCATAAATAGATAAAAGTGGATAAAATGAAAAATATAATAAAAAAATAAAACCACAGAACATGTGGCGTGTGTGTGCTCTTTTTTTTTTTTTGGGGGGGGGGGGGAGGGAGGGAGGGGAGGGGGGGAAGCGTATTCATGCATGGATACTGACATACCCATGCATGCCGGTGAGGGCCTTGGATTGCATAGAATTGGGTAAATATGTCTGTCACTGTGCGATGAGGCTAACGTGGTCAAGGTGGTGGCTTCGCAGCAGCCGCTTGCCTTGTGAATTTTATCACTTTCGTTGCAATAGATGGATGCGAAGCGAAGTAGGAGAATAATACCGATATATATATATATTATCATTGAAAAAGTGGTGTGTTATTGTAAGCAAGGGTGCAAAGGAAAAGTGGTTTTCTGCGTATTCACTGTCCTCCACCCTAATTTTGCAGTTGGCCATCTCGTTGGTTTTATCTTCCTATGTTTTGTGTGTTTATGCATGTGTGTGTGTGTGTGTGTCCTCTCTATTACGGGCATCTAAAGAAGTCTCCGTGGCGGGCGTATATATGCAGTGCTATACGATAGGCAAATTAATCAAGCCGAATGTCTTCACATTCGGTGTGGCATGATACAGTTAACATGCATTAAACTTGAAACTCATGCCGCATTAAATGCTGGTTTGGTACAGGAAGGAACACACGGCCTGTGTGCGTGTATGCAAGTGTGTGTGTATGTGTTTATCTACAGGGGCACTCTCTTTCCCTTCTTGGTTATGATCTTATTTTCTTACTTTTTTTTTTTGCTTATTGGTGAGGAATCGGCCGTAGTGTTGGGGCCAGAAACACAAAGCAAGCAATAATAACACTAGGGAAACAGCGGGAGGTGTGGCATTTCTGGGCGCAAGCGAGGCATATACAAGTACAGAACAAAACGGCATTCAGGAGGACGAAAAAAGAAGAAGAAAACTCCTTAAGAAGGAAATATGGAGGCAGGTGCTCAGGCGTATTTGGAGCAACTCATCATCCCCCTGCAAGCCGCAGGTCGCACGGAAACGGCAGATGCTTTGAGACGAGCCAAGGACGAGTTTGCACGCTCACTGTGGTGTGAGATGACAGACGATTTGTTGCTGGCCGTACGTGATCCCATGGTGCTGGAGTTTGGCTACGAACTACACGAAAAGGTCTTGAAGGTGACGCGAATGGACATGTCCCCCATGGCCTACGTTAAACTGTTGCACTACATCTGCTTCAGCCCAAATAGCACGCTCCCAAAGGCACTGGAGCTTCTCGATGGTGCTATTGCCTCGCTTGCCTCAAGTTCAGAGCAAGGCGTGAATGTAGCCAATTGCATTCGAGCCCTACTACTGCTGGATAGATACAATGGTGACTCGTCTTCGCCTGTGGGAACAGCCGCTTCAGAGGCGCGCAGTATCCTTGACAGAGTGGAGAGTTTCATTCACTCCAAGCAGATGCACGAGGTGGAGCCTGTGCTGGCCGCACTGCATTGCCAGGCCCGTGGGAAAGATTACGAGATACGCCAACAGTACACCAAGTATTACTCGAACGCCTTTGAGACCATCAAGAGTGCGGAGCGTGCAGAGATGCCAATCATTGAAAGTGACCTCTTGTCTCTTGCCTACAAGACTGCTCTTTCGGCGTTACTTTCGGAGGAAATTCATAACTTTGGTAAGTTTCTTAATGACCGCCGATTCACGGAGCGCCTCGCGGCCTCAGCGGAGCACGTGTGGGTCCTCGAGTGGCTGCGTCTCTGTAATGATGGCACTGTGGAGGAGTTTGAACAGTATGCCGCCGCCCACCAGGCGGAAATTGCGGCGAATTCGACGCTTTCCATTGCCTTTCCGTCTATCACGAGGAAGGTGCGACTGATGGCGCTTCTTCACCTTGTCTTTTACACCCCGTTTAACGAGCGCACCTTCACCTTTGATGTGATTGCACGGCGCTGCGCCGTTAGCGAGGAACGGGTGGAACCACTGCTTTTAGCGGCGCTGGCGCAGGGCATTATTAAAGGGAAAATCGACGGCCTCACGCAGGAGGTGCACATTACATGGGTGGAGCCACGTGTGCTCAGCCTGCAGGAGGTGAAGGGGCTTGCCGTGCACGTATCGCGCTGGAAGGAGAAAACGATGGGACTCATGCGGTGCATGACGGAGGCGGCGCTGGAGATACCGAAGTGAGGAAAAACAAAGGAAGGGAGGCGACAAAGTAAATGGTACAAAGAGGGGATCTGCAAACACGCGCAAGGAATAAGTGGAGAGAAGAGGCGGACACAGTTGACACACGGCGGACAAAAGGGGAGAGATAGAGTGGGAGATAACAAAAAGAGGAAAGAGGAAAGGGTCGAACTTCAGGTAAACGGGGAAAGGTACTGAGTCAGTCAGTGATGTTTTCCTCCTCCACCGCGGTAGAACGAGATGGGAATAAGAAAACAAGATGACGGAACAAAGTTGCGGTGAGGAATTGGTATGGGGGTCAAAAGGGAAACAAACAAGAAGACGCGTGAACCGAGACAAGGAGAAGGAAAGACTGTATCTCACATGGATACATTGCTTTTTGTTCTCTCTCTCTTTTTTTTTTCTGTTTCTCTCATTGGGGCATGTGTGGTATGTTTATATTCCGATGCGTGTATTTTTATTGGTCCACTCTTTGTCTCTCGGCGTAGGCGCTCGCTCCTTGTGTTTATGTGCATTTGTGGTGGCTGAGGGTCGTATGAAGGGAAGGGCCTGTGTGATCTCTTTTTTTTTGTATGAGAGACGGAGAAATTTGCGTAACACACACACACAAGGCAAAGCAAAAACGGGAAAAAGACGAAGAAACAGAAAAAGTTGGGCCGGATGCGACACTTATCCGTTTCCTCCTTCACCACCTTTTTTACAGTTTTGTTGGCCTTTGACGAGACAAGAGCCTCTCTTCCTTTTTTTTTCACTTTATTTCTGCCTGTGCGTTTTTTGTGGCGTTGGCATACCGTCGTTTTGTTTCTCTGCTTACACGCCTGCAACTTCCTTTCGCCCCCTTTTCTCATCTTGTTTGTATCTTCCTCTTCCGCATGTGCAACTCTGCGGCTGGACCCACTGCAGTATTTGCGCGCGGAGGTGAGACGGGCTAGCCATCAATCCGCGAGAGGGACTTTCCCCACCACATTTGCATTTGTGCATCGAACACATACGTACGTACACACGCTTCCTAATTTATTTACATCAACCGTTTTGCAAGTGTCTTTATTTGTCTTCGCACGCTTGCATGGCGTTAGCAACAGGCGTTCAGTTGCCACGCGTTCAAGGAGGCAACGCCACCAACCCGAGTTGGGGTAAAAAGAGGGGACATGCAAATTACTCTCCGAAAGTGGGAACGCCCACGGCGGCACCGCAGTTGTCAAAAAGTGTTGTAGCATACGTTTTTCCGAATGCTGTGGATGTTTTAAATTGCAGTGAGGAGGAGTTCCTGGGTCTGCTCACCACGCTCAAGGAGGCCACTGAGCACACCCGGGAGCCAATAATGAAGGAAAAGAAGCGGACGAAGGGTTACACCAAGCGCCAAATGGCAGTCATGCAAGAGGAACTTATCTCCTACCAAAGTACGCTGCTAAAAGCTTGTACAATGTTGAGAGAGTCCGCAGAAGCTGTGAACACCCGTCTTTCCAAGTTAAACGTTGAGGAATCGTTGCTTAATGAATACTACCAAACACTGGATAGTGAGATTGAGCTTGGAGAAAAGTATGGTCTACCCAAGGACGGCAGGTATCACCTTCAGCAGCGTGAGCTGAGGCGCATCGTGCCGCGTCAAAGGTACGGAGAGGAACGAGTGTTTTTGGAGGGTCGCTATGCGAAGTTGACAGCACTCCTGCATGAGCTAGAGGAGGAAGAACATGCGATCTTTCCAGGCTCTGCAGGCAAAGACGCTGCGGTAGCTGAGGCAGCGGTGCTGGGCCGTGAGCACGGCATGGGAAACTCGACGGGGGAAAAGTTAGAAGATGCATATGGTGGTTCCGCTTCTGCTGCCGGAGGCGGCAACAATTTGGAGTTGCGCTTGCGTATGAGACCGCTATTGCAGAAGCTGCAGGAACTTTGCATTGTGCCAGCGCTTTCACCTTCCAGTGTCAAGTCACGGTTACGGAAGGAACTATTACTCCCCTTTTCAGCGCGTGTCCTCGCCCTGAAAATTGATGAGGGAAACAACGCGGGGGAACGGTTTGTAGAGTGGTACGTCAACACTGTCATTGACCCCTTGGCAATGGCACAACTTGTGGAACTTGTACCACGTGAGTATCTTGTGACGACGACTGTGCGGTTTGTAAACGCCTGTGATACATATCTGTCCCTTCGACAGGCTCAAGCTCTTCCGGATGTTTTGCACGTTTTGCTGCAGGCTATTGCGGAGGGACGCCCGGATGCCCTTGCGACCCTTGTGCTTTCTCCCTCAGACTCCTACTTGCATGCGTTGGAAAACAAGGAGCATGTGGCCATTGTCTTTTACGCGGCATTGGTAGCTGGGCAGATGGAAGTGCTGCGGCATCTGATGTCAGTTGGATTTTACAATGTCAATGCCCTTATCGCATGGCTCTTTTTAAATCCAAACACTGAGGCTCCCGCCTACACAGCATATATGACCGAAGTAAGATCTTCCGTGAAGGAGTACATGCAGAAGGAGGTCTCTCAGCAGCAGGATGTTATCAATGCAGAAACCCTGCGCAGTGAGTTGGATGGGGAGATCACGGCCTCCGCATTGGTTTTGAGTACAGTGCAGAGTAGTTCAAGGATTCCCTCAGTGACCAGGGGTTTGTGCGAAACGCTGCGACGCTTCCTGCAGGAGCGCCGAAAGTGGAAATCTCATGTTGCCTCACTAGCCAATAAAACCACCAATGATACCCACACAAAGGAAACCAGAGGAGCCTCTTCCGAGTCAGCGTCAATGCTGGTGCCACAATTACAATCAGTGGGAGTTATGCAGACAACGACACAAACAAGTTTTGCTTCTGAGGTGTCCTTCTCGCATGTTCTTGAGAAGAGGCGCTTGGACCGCATTCCACTCTCATCCGTAAAGTGTGCCGTGCTGCCAGCCGTTACCACCTCATTTATGCGGCGGGTGGACCTCTGGGGGTACACACCGCTGAAAGCGACTACCTCCCATTTTCTGCTGGTAGGTGATACATCCACTGCAAATGCACACGTTGTACATCTCCCACCGCAGCACGCAGAATTGTGGCCTGATGATTTCACTGAAACATCGCACGCAAAATGGAAGCGAGAAGAGGAAAAAGCGTCAGCAAAGATGAAGGGACCGTGTTTTTACTATGAGGTACATATTTCACTAAAGTTTCTACTCAGTGGTATCCCTGTGAGCACGACTGTATTTAGCAGTCTTCCACCTTCTGAAGACAGGTCTGGGCTGCAAACTTCCACAGTTTTTGTTGGCTGGTGCTCAGAGGAGTGTGTGGCTGCTGCTGATGGACGTTCCACGCATCCTGCACTTGGAAGTGACCACAACTCCATAGGAATTTCTTTTGACATCTTGCATAGAGCTGCGGTCAGTGAATGTGTGGAGGAGATCATCTTACGTCCTATGAAACATGAGAGGGGCAGAACCTCTGTGTATCCTGTCCGAAATGAAGTAGTTCTACAAGATAAGGCGATGGAGGATTTGGAGAGTAATTTGAATAATTCATGTTTTCCCTTGTTGAGAATTTTGCTTGAGAAAAACGACGAGAAGGGCAACAATATGGAATTTGGATGCCACTTCAATGGACCCTTCTCCTCGCCCATATACGGATCTTTAAACTTTATGGACAGCAGCTCAGCATCGGAGGATTATTCCCTATCGGTGGGGGCGTATGCTTCGACAAGAACAGTGGTTCCTAATATTGAATTCGTGAGCCAGGAAGGGAATGGTTCCATGGCAGATGAAGGAGGCAAATCGCGTTGGGCCTCTGTCTTTGCTTGTAATTCGATCGTACTGAGAGGAGTATCGGTGTACAACTCTCAGTCCCTGGTGGTTGGTTGCAGCGTGAATTTTGGTAACCGGAGTGCGTCTTTTACTGTAAACGGAGAGTCGCTTGGAACTGCCTTTACGAGGCTGCCGTCGCAAGCCGCTCTCCGGCCGGCTGTGAGTCTCCAGGCATCAAAACAAATCTCGGAAATGCTTCAGCGTGTGACTCCTTCTGACGCTGCCATTGTTCGCTTTGTCTTTGAGGAAGCACATCTTCTGGTCACGCAAAAGGTCGTTCCGGCGCAAAGCAGCTTTCCAGCGGCGTGGCCCTTTGCTGAGACTCGTAAAGAAACGCCGGAACGCAACGCGGAAAATCAGCAGAACCGTCGGTTGATTCCCGGAGTTTTAGCTTCATCTTGCCCATTGCTGTTTGACGAGAGAATGATGCAGTGTGCGCTTCTTCGGCTTATCACTTGCGGCGAAAGCACGCTACTCACCGGCGACGATGTCAATGAGCTCATGCAGGCGGAAGGAAAAACCCTTTCACTGGGGTCCACCGTGCGTGTCACGGCGTCGAGTGTCCGTCAGCTGTTAAATGCACAGTCTAACGCGGACGACCTCTTATTTTTTCCTCCAGTGCTTGTAAAACGTCGTAGTGACGATACGCAAGGAGAAAATGGTGTGGCGATTATTCCAGAGGAGGTTCCGCTTGTGCCGCTGTGTGTCGCACTCGCACAGCGGCAGCGTGTACCAGCCTATTGTATTGCCATGAATCCCCTTACAGACTACCTTGCTCAGGACGATGTGAGTAGACGACAGAGACGCATGGCTTTACTTGCCTCTGCCACACTGGGCTATATGGAGGTTTTGTACGTGCTTCTTGAGCGCATGTCTATTGCAGAGACGCTCAGCTTGTTTACGCTCAACCTCTCGAGGAATGATCCAGACTATGAGCTAACGGGAAAGCAGATGAGGATTTTTTCTCTTGGAAGCTCTCGAAAGTGCACTTCTGCCACCATGCTACATCGCGTTGAGTACACGCCACTTCATTGTGCACTCCTTGAAGAACACTACGAGTGTGTGCATCTGTTACTTTACTACCTGAATCGGCTACTGCCGGAGGAGTACAGACGACATGCGGTGAACGTCCTGACACGTAGTGGGGAAACGGCACTTCTCATGGCTTGTCGTCTTGGCTACACAAAAATTGCAGAGCGACTACTCGCTATGGGGGCCGCACCGTCGAGCTTCGATCGTGTAACGCGAACGAATTGTCTGGAACTTGCCTGTGCCAGTCGTAGTGAGGAAATTGCAGTGGCCCTTCTACAGACGCCACATTACTGCTCACAGGTGGCGGTGAATCTGTTTGGGGTGGCGACGCCGATATGTTGGTGCGCGTTAAACAACCTTGGATCTCTCATACCCCTGCTACTGAAGAATGGTGCGAACCTCAATGTGACGTTGGATGGTCTCACACCACTTCTTTTGGCGGTCACGTTTGGTAGCGAGGAGGCGGCTCTGCAACTGCTTAACTGCTGTGAGGGTGTGTCAAGTGTCTCCAGTCACCTGACCCAAGCGGGTCATCCTCCTCAGAGTCATTCATCTCACGGGGAGACCAACGAGGAAGACTCAGTCAACGTCTCTGAAGTTCGTCGTACTGCCGTGGTAGACGTCAATGCACTGGACCCGCTCACGCAGTCTAGTGCCCTACATTTGGCGTGCGAGCTTGGGCAGCTAAAGGTGGCACGTGGACTCATTGCAAAGGGGGCCTTATTGAGCCTGCACAACAAGGCGAAGTTTGCCAATGCACTACACCTCGCCATTATCAACGGACATGAAGAGTTGGCGCTGGAGATATTGGAGTATGCGAAGGACAAACTTCGACGTGGTCACAACGTACTCAACATTACGGCTCCTGAAAAAAACGCTGACACAGCATTGCATCTCGCCGCCCGACAGGGCATGTTACAAGTGATTGAGTACGTCATGCTTCAGTTTAGCGAAGATGAAGTTGCACGACTTTCTGGCATTCGCGTCTTTGCAAAACGGCCTACCCCAGTGAATGTTGTGGCAACCAACCGTCAGGGCATGACGCCGCTTCTGGTCGCAATCCACGCACACCAGGAGGCGGCTGCGCAACTTATTGCGTCACTCATGCCAGAGACACTCCCCAACCCGGGTGGACCCGTTATTGACGGTACCTGCACCGCTGTTTTGGCGAGTGACGCGGAGGGGCTTGACAATGTGACACTTTACTTTCTTTCACAGCCGCGCTACGCCGCAAAGGAAAGCTTCCGGGAGGGATTCTTCGCCCGCTACAACGCGAAGCGGCGGCAAATAGACCTCCGCGAAGACGGTGTGCCTCTTGGAGTGGATGAAAAAGTCGTAGTGGGTTTCACAGAGCCAGAGAAAAAGCGAAAAAGGGATAGAACACGTAAAACCAACCACAACTTCCATTCCAGGCGAGGGCTGGCTTTGCAACGAACGAACGTCTCTGCGGCACTCCTATCGCGGACGAGTCTTTCGCAGTCAACTTACGCAGAGAAGTTAGGAGAGCGTACTGGAGTTCAAGGCACGATGCTTTCACGCCGTCACACCTCAGGAGGCTCACAGGCGTCACGGGCAGGGAAGCCACGACGACGAAGTACATTTGTGCGTATGCTGCTTGCTAAGGGAGGGATTGGCCTCACCACACGGATGTTTATTCAAATTTTGGAGCAGGGATTCCCGCTCGAGGAATTATACGTTATGGTTGACACCATTTCCACTGAGACGACGCGCTCGACCCAAACTGTGGCTGCGATGCAGCACGTGGAAACCCTCATCTTATTTTTTCGTGAATATGGTGGAGTGCGTATTGCCACAAGGGATGCTGTTGTATTTGCGCGACAACTTCTTGCGTCTTCGGCCTTGGCGGGAATTATGGAGTCGGACCAGTTGGAGAATGCCAAAAAACGGATGATGGAAATGCGCCCGCTGTGCAGAGAGTTGGTGTCTGTCATACGTTCCCGTGGGCAACGCCCAGAGTGTGTGGAAGATATGCGTCAAATAATTGAGCAACGTGGCGTTGTGGGCCCCTCACTTGAGGAAGAGGTGACGACCCCCTTTGGATTTACGGTGCTCCAGCTCGCCGCCACCCTGGGTTTGCCGCACGTCTGTGAATTTCTTTTGAATGAATGTGAACTGCATCCCTTGTATGTACCGCCAACAAGCAGCATTCCCTGTAGTGATAGCAAGTGGCTTCTGTCGCCGTTTCGTCTTGCATTGCGTTCCCTCAATGTAAAGACCATTTCGATTTTTCTTTTGCTTGAACTTCAATCGGGTGATGTACATGAACTTCTAGAACACAAGGAGCTTCCGAGGGCAGATAAGCTCCAACAGACGGCGCTTCAGGAAATTATTCGTAAGCCACTCGATACGCTTTCCGCTGCGACTGCTACCGACACACTATACGTGATGCGTCTGCTGCTTCACAATGGGGCTGTGGTGCAAGGCAATTTTGACAATGAGGGAGACGACGCGTGGATGCTGGCCGTGCGTGCCGCTCCTGGAAAGGGTACTAAACTTGAGGTTTTTTTTGAGGAGGATGTAAAGCTTGGCATGGACGCAGAGGAAGAAGGAAGTGAAGAGGATAATATGAGGGAATTTACAGGCAAATCCGCACGCTTGCGCGTAGACTCACACACGTGGGAGCTTGAACCGATGCGGCGAAGAGAAAGCTGCAAAAACGGGTGGACAACGATGTCGTTTGAGGCAAATGAGGAACCCAAGGTGCCCTTACGAATGCCATTTATGAGCTCCATGACGGCACCGCAGTGGGTGAATTCCCCTACGGTTATGCAAACCTCCAGCGACGGCACATACGTGGACCTGAATAAAGAGAGATACTACGCCCAACTAATATATTTGTGTGCGGAATATAACCCACAGTGTCTGAGTACACTGCTGGAACGGTACCCGCATGTTCTGTCCCCCTCCATTGTTAATCCAGTGACGGGTGATACTTTGCTCCTCTTCCTGTTGCGCCTGGCAGCCAACATATATTTGGCAGAGTGCGGGGTCGATGTGCTTTCTCAGAATAATACAGGCAATGAGGAGGTTGCATTAACACCGCGGTGTATGACACTAGAGGCGAAGACAATCTCCACGTCCGATGACGATTCAGTACCGTACCGTGATCCCATCACTATTCCCACTGTGCGCTCGTTGCTGCTTGTCGTAGAGCAGTTGCTGCGAAAGTTTTTCTTTGGTAATGTGTACTATGAGCACAGTGACGGGCAAACCGCTTTGGCCCTGGCCGCGCGCCTAAGTTCCACCCCGATTGTCTCACTTATAGTACAGCAGCGGAACGTGTCAAAGGTGAGTGCGTTGAGTAGAAAAAATACCGAAGAGAGCGAAGCCATTTTAACTGCCCCCTCCGACTTCTCCGAGGTAGCCTCCGAGAAGGCTGTGATCAATGACGACCTTGCACGAAATTTGGAATCTTCCTCCTGTTGGGTGCTACTCGCCACACGCCTCTACTATGCGGAAGAGGAAATGGAGATGCTGCTTACAATTCTCAGACACCTCCGAACGGCCTCTACAAGGTTTTCATTCTTGTCGATGGTCTACTCCAATCTACACCCCATCGTAGCTCTACGCATTGTGGAGCAATACGCAAATGATGTGAAGAAAATTTTTACGCACCCGGAAGCCATCAATGCTTTCTGGTCCAACGTTCTTTATGCCCAGTTTGTGGGCCGACTTGAGGAGGTGCCGGTGACGTCAGCCGAGTGGAGTTCCATTCTGAGTGTGCTGCTTCCCGCTGCCTCGGCCATTCCAATCTATTTGATCAAAACAACACCGACACTTCCATCCACTCCACGTCCTGACTCGCCGCTGTCAACGCTGCCGTCCCCAGATGAACCTGCCTCACCGACGAAAAAGGAAAGGACAAGGAATCGTGCCGCCCCCAACTGGACTTCCATTGTCACGAAAACAAGACGGTACGTTCGTCAGCTCGCAGCGGCAGCGGTTTGTGTGGCATCACCACCATCTGCCATTGCCTCTTTGCATGGCGGTGGGGTCATTCCAAGCTCTCAGCGTCAAGTGCTTACGGTTATGTCCAACCATTTTCATGAGTTAATTGAATTGTCTGTGCGCTATGATAACTCTACTATGCTGCTGAATCTCATGAACTCGGCTCCCGCAGAGCTGCAAGCATGCGTCAAGAATGTGTGGCGTGAGTTGATGATGAAATATCATATTGACGTGGTCGCCATCGCTGCAGGAAGCATGAATATAATAAGGACGCTTGCGAGTGTCCCTGAAACGGCCCCACTACTAAGCAGCGAGCGATATGAACGAATCGATCTCGCCACTGGCCTTTCCGAGGAGGTAGTTATGGCACGGGATGCGGTTTCGGAAACATCGTCAGCCGCTACGAAACTCACGCATTCGCCTGGAAACACGATGCTGGTGCGTGGTGAGCACACAGGCAGTTTCTCTGCCGTGATCTCATCACGTAGGTCGTTTATTAGAGCCACCGTTGCCGCCAATGAAAATAAATGGAACCACAAAAAAACAAGGGATAGCAAGCAGACGGTGGTGAATATCCTCGCACTGGATGTATCGAGGGTTGGCATGAGCCCGGATGATGGCGTGGGCGACGCTGAAAAATATGAAACCAGCTTACAGTACATGGATGTGATGACAGCAGCTCGCGAAAGAACGACGGCTTCGGCAGTCACGTGGGGAATAGGTGCTGCCGCACGACCCATTGCATTGCAAGAAAAGGGTAGAGCAAATTCTCATGTGACAACCCAATTGCAACCCAATTCTTTCTCCTCTGTGCAAAGAAAGGTGAGTGCCATGGCAATTAGCGATGACTTTCCGGAGCGCATGGGTCAACCTCAGGGCACTGATGGGGGGGGGCTCTCCATGTCATCCGTGCGACGTAAATCACGCAAACGATCCGCGACGCTGGAAGTTACACGTGCCTCAAACGCCTTGCGTCAGGCCTCACCGCCATTGGAGCAATTGGATCCGCTTCCACCACCACAGTACTTTCCTTATTATTTGTGTGACTGGGCGCTTCACGCGACACTTGTACTACACGCACCGCGGCCGTCGTGTCGAACGATTGACACCCTGCTTTACCTCATGGATCAACGTGCCCCCCTCACTGCTTCGGCAGTACAACTTTTTTTGGTGGCCTCGCGACCATTGAATTACTGGGAATCCTCTGACGGCCAACCAATTACGCTGAACTACGCAACACGCACAAACAAAGACACACTGTTGCATATTTTGGTCCAGAATAATCAACTTCAACTTGCCCACTATTTTTTGGCGGCTGCCTTGTGCTACTTTACATATTATCAATATGATCCACCGAGTACTATGCCGCCACACTTTGCACTGATGGATATGCCAAAACCGCAGAAGCCTTTTCAGTCTTCAGATTTGCCCGGAACAAACGAAACAGAGGAGCTGGAAACATTAGAAGAGGAGAGTGTTTATCCTGCAGTTTTTTTACGGAGCATGTTGCAGATAAATAAGCGCGGCCTCACACCTTTTGACTACGCCCGTGGGCCAATGGTGTCACTACTCATGGAATACGGTTGTGTACCACCAACATACCGCCCTAATCCGCGTGGATTTTGCCGCGCCATTCGATTATCCTTCGCCCCCTCAGCCTTTTACCGAGTCCCTAGGCTTCTACTTGTGTCTGCGAATTTTATTGAGCTACACGACGAGGGGAAACCAAAGCCACGAAACCATACAGCAGAACTATTGGCTAGGGACGCTGCCGATGCCATGTTGATTCGTAATCAGAAAGCTAGTCAACACACGACAAAAGTAAATTTTTTGCCATCAGTTCTTGCAGGCAACGTGAGTCTGCTGCATCTGGGATTATGCTCCGCCGATGACGAACTTGTGTTGCAGTACATCAAAGAAAAACGTGAGCGACAATTGCTAAGCTTTGCCTTGTCACAAGTGCCGCAGAACGCACCCACACCGTATTCGATGCCGCAATTTTTGGGTACAGCAGTTGGAACTCGGCCACGGGGCAAGATGGCACACCCTACCGTCCCTAGAACGAATCGTTTGTCCAGGAACGAATCCCCTGTACAGCGTGGAGCAGCTGAAAAGGAGCTGCCAAGCGCTTTGAAGCTTATGAATATTCTTCGTGAACGTGGCTTTGTGTTGTTTCCTCTTATTCTTCCTCTGGACCTTGAGACAAGTCAACCACCGCGCGAGGGCCACTGCAATGATAGTACTGCAATTTTGATCAGCCTGACCCCCATGGCACTGGCAACCTGTGCGGGTGTTGTGAGGCGAGATGAGAATCCCCAGGCAAATAAATGGCCGAGTAAACCCAAGGATGCAATTAGGTCAACCTCCAATACCAAGACTTCCTTCATTCCGCCACGTTTCACACCAACGGTGGGAAAGAGCTATCATCCTGCAGAGGCTCTCGATGCGTGGGTGGCTTCCCGCCGTTCAGCGAAGACGGCAACACCTGGAAAGGATCCACACATGAATCTGCTTGTCAGGTCTATTGAAAACGGTCTTGCCGGGCGCACGATTCAGTTTCTCGGACTTTATCCAGCTCCTTCTTATGAGTCCCAAAAGTAAACATTGCTGGGGAATTGCAGGGTAATCCTGCTTGGATGTATTATTCACATCTTCTCGTTATTGTTATTTTTTTGTAAATGAAATTACGAGAAGAAATGATGAAAATCAAAATGCAAATTGTATAATATTGCTTCTCTCATTGCCTATTTCTTTCTTTATATCATGTTGTATGCCTGTGCATGGGCCACAAGGGCCCGTGATACTATCTCATGTAGATGTTCCAGTTGGATTGTTTGACTTCCAAGGGTTTAACAAACACCATTTTGGTGAACGGTGTGCATATGCATTTTTTTTTCTTTGTTTTTATGTCACCACTTTTTAGTTTCTTCTGCATTAAGCTACAAAATGGTAGTGCCAGATTTAAAACAAGGGTGTTTGCGAGTTACCGCCATTGTTCATGTCGAATGAGGCCTTCATCTCTGACGGGGAGGCGGGCGGCTGAATGGAGGATGCCATCCAAATTTGAGTAATACACACACAAACCTCTTATCTATCATCTAATGGCCACTTTAACGACATGATAGTAGGGGTGGGTGTGGGGGTATACTCAGACGAAAGCGTTCGTTTAAAAAGAGATCAGGGCTAGTGCGCTTGTGCATCCGTACCCGCTCAGCAAAAGGAGAGATTACACCACTGCAAACTGTGTGTTTAGTAATATCTCCGGAGAATGTGTCGTTTGCCATTT